TGGCTTGGGCCATTGCAGGCATGTGGCTGCATTTCTGGAATCAAAAGTGAATGTCTGTTCACCTGCTTATTGGTTCAGTCTATGCAGCTTAGACTAACCTGCAAAGCTTGAATTTATTTAGCCTCGAGCTTTTTGGCTGTCTGTAGTTAGCCCCTAAACCCTATTACTGTGACTAGTTCTTATGTGTACAGTTCAAAAAATTATGTTCTAAAATTAGAACACAACCAATTAAAGCACAGTCAATAATAATCAGATATCAGAAAATCATACATTGTAGCAGGGGTGTAAAAATCATGGCCTCACAGGCCAGATGAGTGGTTTGGAGCAAGTCCATGGGCCAGATCAGGCCCACAAACCAGCCACCCTCTCTCACCCCATCCCCTAGCACAGGCTGGATCCAGTGCCCATGGCACCTGCTCTGGGACCTAATGCATGTGACAACTGCCCCAGATATTCTAGGATCCATGCCACATATAGTACCCAGTGTGGCTGATCCAGGATCCCACATGGTGCCCAGTGCAGCACAGGTCCAAGAGTGGCCAGGGCAGTTGCTGCATGCAACATGAGTCCCAGACCCTGTGCACAGAGCCAGACCTGCTCATGTTGTGTGCAGCCCATAGGTCTACTCTGAGACCCAGGGACTGCACCAGGGGCTGGATGACACGAATGCAAATCTGAGTTGTGGGCTGTATCTTTAACACCCTTCCAGATAATGGGAGACTAAAGACATTCAATCCATTTAGATGGATAAAGGGGAAAAAAAAAGAGTTAACCTGATTGCAACTTAAAAGAACCAGTGATTGTAGAACATAATACAATGGTTGGAAGCAGAAATTAGACAAATTAAATTAGAAATAGGGTGCAGATTTCTAAAAGTGGTGGTTGCAAAAGTTTATTTAACAATATCATAGGGATGCGATCATTAAATTGTTTTAATGACCACTAGATCATGCTTTAGGGCTAGTAAATTATTTGTTACACCATTATTTTACAAGTGCCCTTGATTTTTGTTCTTCCAGGTATGATGTTGCCATCTTTGACCTCAGCTGTGTATTTCTTTGTGTTTTTGGGACTGTGTACATGGTGGTCCTGTTGCCAAGTATTTGATCCGCTGATATTCAGCTGTCTGTGTGTATTAATGGCTATATTCAGTGCGGGGCACTTGATTGGACTTTATCTGTACCAGTTACAGTTCTTTCAGGAAGTTGTCCCACCAGGTGATTTCTATGCAAGGTAAGTGCAATGTCTACTTTATTTAATTAAACACAAACAGTGCACTTTTCTATTTATACATGTTGCAGTTGTTCTTCCACATCATAACCAACATGATTTTTTAAGATGATAATACCAGAAAAATCTTTGTTCATCCTTTGAAAGTCAAAACATGATATATATTGGATAGGCCCTAGAGAGTGGTGCAAACTCTGTGTATGTGAAAGATAAGCCAGGTATCTGAGGGAATGACAATGTGTACACACCGTCACTTCCTCACCCCCCACAAAAAATAAAAAGCCTGACATGAACCTCTCTTGAATGGCAAAGAATGTATGTGTGTTGCTGCTATTATGGGTTTTTTTTACTTTGAACTAGAAGGCTGCTCTGGCAACTACCCAGGAGTTTATGGATATTGACTACTTTGCATGATATTAGGCAAATTGCAAGTGCCCTTACTTTTGGAGATATACAAACAACCAGACCACTTGGATCAAGAAACAATATGCTTGGATCTGCAGTTACTTGTGTGATAAATATCTATAGGAAGTACTTTGAGCTACACTTTCAGATATGCAAGGGGATTAAAAAAAATAAGAGATGAACTCACAGAGTCATCTAGTTGGTCACTAGTTATATTATCAAAATTACTATGTCAGATTGCTTTTAAGATAAAAATATTTAGTTCCCCTACCATTTATTAAGTTAAAGGCCTCCAATTCAATTTTTTAGCTGTCTGTAGTGTGTATAAGTGAAAGTACATTGGATATTTCAGAATAAATAAGGTTTTTCTGTTTTAACTTGAGTGAAAAATAGTCTAACACTCCTTTATATGTTGTGTTACAGTAGTTAGTACATTCATTCTGTTTCTGGCATTAAATCTTGATGTTTATTTACTATAGATTAATAGTTGTTTTGTAATGTTGGGGCTGCTGACCTTAGGAGGAGGATTTAAGTAGACATATTGTACAAGAAATATAAATCTTCACAAGTAAATCAGAAAAGAGATTCTTACAGTTAGGTTCTTTTTGCCATCTAGAGGCCAGTGTAGGAAATTGTGAATTTTCATAACCTAGGCAGAAGGCACAGCTGTGTGGCACCTTAGGCTGCTTATACTGTACACATACTTGGGACAGGGGGAGATTGTGTTTTAATTCAAGTGGTTTCCAGACAGTCACTCTTAATTAAAATGGCTCACTGTTATGTGTATTAAGCCCCTGTGTGTTTCAAAATGGCCATGGGATGCTTTATCTAAAGCTCATTCAATGAGGCTTGGATAAAGTGCCTCCACAGCCATTTTGGAGGGGAGTTTAATACACCTGACAGTGAGGCAACGCTGGAGCATTCTAGTTAGAACATGGAGCAAACTCGATTAATCAAGTCTGCCCCGATGAATTCTAGTTAGAACATGAATGAGTATGTCTATAGGCACCCTTATAGACCAAGTAGTTTAGGGAGACATGACCATGATGCCTTCTGCTGAACTTAAGACTAACACTGCTAATTACCTCTCTCAAGACGTAGAGAAAGGAAAGTAGTCTCAAGCAGACAGAAATGTTCTGTTCCTTCTTTTTTAATTAATTAGTAGAGGGAAAATAGCTGTAATGGACTTCGAAATTCCCTTTGAATAAGTATGGACCACGATTTGGCCTCAAGAATGATGTCCTGCAGCAACAAATTCTAACTCTGGGTAACATTATTCTCTAGTCCAAAATGTCTACAATTGTATTTTATAGCCTAAACCAGAAAGGTACTCTTGAAATTCATATATTTATAAACAGTCTGTTCTTTTCATATGCATCTAATCCAAACAGAAGCACTGAAGAAAGTTTGCAGTTAGTTGTGATATAGGCTGGCACTAAATGTTTTTGTAACTAATATGACTTTACTGTCTTCCCAATAGAATTTTACTTATAAAATAAATTCTATAAGATTCTTCACAATGCAATACTTGAAAAGCTAAATGTTGTGTGTATTACATGGAATAATTTGGGATATTTTTGTTCATATTTCTCATTTTTTAGAGTATCCATACAAATTAAAAGTACCAACAATAACTACCCACCTCTTTGTTCAAGTTTTAGAATAAGAATATACAGGTGTAAAATATCCTAGTAAAGAGTCAAAGGAGTTTTACAATTTGGGCAAAATTTTTGAGGCTTGGGCTTTAGAACCTTGTCTGATCTTATACACTTTTGGTGACAAAAATCGTAATTTGTTATATATTGAGGGCTATTAATATAAGTGATGTTATATGCCAGAGAGAGAATACATGACATAATTTGAAGGAGCTTATGTCCTAAGTCAAGGCTGGAGGAGAAGCTTGGGGTCTCTGGCTGCTGCTGCAGCCACAGCAGTAGGGGGAATGGTAGCTGGGTGGGTGTCCAGGGGCTGCACTCCTTGTGGGCTGCCATTCTTAATTACACAGTCATACATAAGAGATCACAAGCAAATAGAAGAGGGTTTCATTTCAAAGTTGTGCTTCTATTTATTTCACTTTTTAATCAGAGTTCTTTATTTGGTAGATTGACACTGATGGGCTGCTGAGAAAAAATGTTTTTAGGAGAGGTCTGAATCAAGAGAGGTAGTGGCTGTCCTCCATGGTTGTAGAAGAGGAAGTGCAGAACTGTGGGTGGGAGGAAGACACAAATATGGCATTAAAGAAGGCAGCCTAGGTATTGTATAAGCTGTGGATAAGGGAGTGGAAGGAAATTTTACAGATGAATTGGAATAGTGCAGGAACCTTATTGGAGGATTGCCCATCCTACCAGAAATGTGATGCATTGATAATATGTCCACTATCCTCTACTCTTGCAGCCAGAGCAGTGGGGAGTGGTGGCCCAGTAGGCATCTGGAGGCCACAGTTTAACCCCTCATGGTCTGCCAGTTGGAAAGCCCTGAGTTGGAATATGTCTTCTCACAAATTAATTTCCTAGGTTTTTGAGTTTTTTCCTTTAAGAATAAGTTTTAAAATCATGCAGAACATTTTCTGAGACCATATACCTGCAGGTCCTGATTCTGCATAAAAGACCCATTAAACTCTGTCATGAAATCTGTTTGTGCATTCAATATAAAGGCCATCTCTGAATGGAAAGGTCTTTAGCCATCATTTTATTTTTATTTCTAAATGTATAATATCATCCTAACTGAAAGCCCTTTTCAATGTCACAGACTTGTAGATTCATGTTGCATAAAACCTATACCTGCATTTTACCCCATTTCAGTCCTCCTCTTGCCTGTGGAAGTAAGCCTGGACACCTAGGTCTCTACATTTTTTCTTCTACAGGGCATTTTTTGGTCAAGCAAGTCTCAAAACCACCACATATATACTGGTTAGCTTTCTAGTCTGCATGCATAGATCTAGACTTTTGGATGGCTATGTACATACCAGATTGTTCCTCTGCTCTGGTTACAAAAAGAGAAAGACCCCTCACCTTTCCCCTCAAATAACTCTGTTACTAGAGTACTCTTGACCCTTGGCAAGATATGAAAAGTAATTTTGTGGGAGATACATGAGGCCATGAGAGAGGAAGAAAGCCAGAGGGTATATGGCCCAGTGATGTGGCTGCTGGTCTGGAAGGGAAGGTCCCTGGTTTCTAGACCTGACCCTTGTCCCCATTTAGGGCAGAAGCTTTTCCCTTTGCACTGTCTCCATTCATATTTTCCAATGGCTATGTTAGAGGCTCAGCTTAAAATGGAGCTCTGGAGAAAGGTAGGAACAAGAGGCCTAACTTTTGCTGTGGTGGTTTGAGTGCTATGCTGGAAAGTGAAAGACACACAGTGACCATCCTTAGTCTAAGTTCAGTAGTCATGGGTTTTGGCCAACTCCATTTTTAGGCATCTAAAACCTCTACACATCCACAAAGGACATGCTTATTGGTCTTAGCCACTATTGCGTATGCTAACTCAATAACAGAATTGTCTGCATAGAATGCCAATCTGCACATACATGGGTTTTTTGAGACCTACACAACCAAAAACATGCCAGGTAGATGACCAAATCTGGATGCTTATGTGTCCTGAAGAGTGGAATGCTACCATGACTAATTGCAGAACTGTCATGTAGACCATACATGGAGTGGATCTCCTGTCTAGAAGTCTCTTTTTTTCCAGTAGAGTGGGAATATTTCTCTTGCCTGTGAGCCATTTCTGGCTTTAAGCATTAGGTTTTACCCTGTCTGAGAGCAACAGAATGTCTTTCATATTACACTAATTTTTCAACAGAGATTCATGTTAACAATGTAATGTAACAGAATTCAAGACACTGCTAATATTATTTAGATCTAATTGCTTCTGTAGCTTCCTCAAAGTATTACATCTTTTTTTCTAAGGGGATGGTTGTTTTGCTAACAGCTTGCAAATGCAAGTTCAGTCTCCTGTTGCCAAAAGGCCATACTTGTCCTTGCCATTATGATAATCGCTTGCCTGTTTTATCCAAACTATGAGGTAGCCCAAGGCATGTGCTGTTCTGAGTAATTCCATTCTTTGGAAATGTTTTGCCATAGGTTTTCATCTGCCACAAGTAAGGGCAGGATAAGTCTCATGACTATTTAGGATTCATTTCTTTGCTGTTAGGACATGGAATTAATAGAATGATTTCTAAATGTTATATTAACAATGAATATTCTTCATGAATATCCTATCTGTCCTAAGATCTAATATCTCCTGGCCAAATATTAGGGTCCTTGAATTTTTTATTTTGATGTTACTTTTTTAATATTTGGATTTGAGTAGAGCCTGAAAGGTATTAAACACTTTTCAACCACAATAAAAATGCAGTCGCTGCTCCAAGCAATTCATAAGCTACAATAATAAGTCATGTACTGTGGAGGGAGCTGAACTATCTACAGTCAAATTCTTACACTTGTTTCTAATCCTGTTACACTACTCAGTGCTACAGTAACAGAAGCTGCACTGGTTTGCTAGTTTGGGGGACCCTCCTGGTATATGGGAATTTCTGACAGCTGTAAGGATGACAGGGCTGGCTCTTACGTCACCTCCCTGCAGCCTCCACAGTGAGT